TTATCCTTATTATGTCCAGCCTGGCAAATGATTGAAAAGATGATGGTCTGAATCAGGGAAACTTTAGTCCTCCAACATCTTTACTTCTTAGTAATTTGGAGAGGTTCTTGATTGGAGGCTTTCCCAATGCAATATATTTCCCCTAATCTCCTGACTTCCAGTTCCAAGTATATTGATTATGGATCTAAGTAAGATGAAGTCATTGACAGTTTCAGTCTTTTCTCTGTCATTATGTCTGTCATAATGTTGCATATAGATCCAGTGGTGAAAATTGTTGTTTTCTTGACATTGACATGAAATCCATATTGAAAGCTAGTGTTTGTTCTTCTGCAGCAAGTGATTCAAATCCTCCTCACTTTGAGCATGTAAGGTTGTGTCATCTGCATACTAAAAGTTATTGATAAGTCTTCCTCCAATCCTGATGCCACATTCTTCATAGAGTCCTTCTTCTCAAATAACTTGCTTCACATATAGATTAATAGATAGAAAGAAGGGATACAACCCTGACACATGCCTTACTTAATTTTCAACTACACAGTGTTCTATTGCTCTATTCCCACGACTCCTTGATCTATGGATAGATTTTGCATGAACATAATTAAGTGCTCAGGGATTCCCATTCTTCTAAATGTTAGCCATAATTTGTTATGATCCACACAATTTTCCACATAATATATTGAGTGCCTTTGCTTAGTCAATAAAGCATACATAGACATTCTTCTGGTATTCTTTGCTTTCAACCAGAATCCATCTGACATCAACAATGATACACATATGCTACTTCCTGAAATATTTTTCCCTTTTCCTTTTTGACCCATATAATTTAAAGTCTCTGAAAACCCACTGCAGAGTCAGCTATGAATCAGTTCTCAACTCAACAGCAAATAATAGCAGTAACTACTTCCTGTCATTATAATGATTAAATAGGCTAAGGGCATTCAGAATGCTTATAAACAGTAACTGGCACATCACAAGTGGTAAGTAGGAAAAAAAAATCCCAAATCCATTGTTATTGAGTAGATTCCAACATTTCTTTTTTTCCCCAGGTGAGCAGTTGGTGGATTTGAGCCACCAATCTTTTGATTAGCAGCTAAGTGCTTAACCACTGTACCCACAAGCCCCATAAGTGCTCAATGGATTTTAGTTATTACCATTTTTTTCAAATTTAATTTCCCCCACCTCCTTTTTGATCTTGTTTTTAGGTGCCATGTAGTTGAGTATGACTCATACTCAGCCTATGAACACTAGACCTGAACCCTATTCTATCCTGTGCCATCCTCATCAACTTTGACACACTTGGGCCTATTGCTGCAGTCACTGTGTCTGTCTATCCATCTCATTGAGGATCTTCTCTTTTGCCAACCCTCCACCTTTCCATGCATTATGTTCCCCTCTAGTAAACAACTTCTCTGAACAACATACTCAAAGTATAAGAGATAAAGGTTTGCTATCTTTACCTCTGAGGAACACTCTTGGTTGTACCTTCTCCTAGACATAACTGTTCTTGTGGCAGTCCATAGGACATTTAGGCCTCTTCCCCAACCCCATAACTCAAAGGCATCAGTTCTCCTGTCATCCTTAGTCACTGTCCAGCTCTCAGTTATATAGCAAGTGATTGGAAAGACCATGGCCTGAATCAGGCCCACTTTAGTCTTCAGACTGACATCATTATTCTTCAGTATGTTGGAGAGATCCTTGACAGTGGACTTGCCCAAAGCATTATATCTCCTGATTTCCTACTCCTAGTACCAAGGGTATTTGTTGATTGTGGATCCAAGCAAGATGGAATCATTAACAACTTCAATCCTTTCTCCAGTCTGTCATGATGGCTGCTTATTGGCTCAGTGGTGATTTTTCCTTTACCCACCCCTCCCTCTACCCATCAAATTGTGTGACCCTGTGACTACCCCCTACCCCTTTTTACTCCTCTGCTCCTACCCTCCCCCCCTTGGATCTTCATACACGTTTACTAGTTATTTTTTTATTTCTGCAAAAATCGTCTTCTATAGTATTTGCCTTTATGGGACTGAGTTAGTTCACGTAGCCTAATGGTCTCTAGCCCTCCCAGGTTAGGTAGTGATTTTCAAAATCGTTGCTCTTACATGCTGTGTAGTATTTCATTCTGTGAATGTACCATAATTTCTCAATACCATTCAATTGTGGTTGGACATATGGGCTGTTTCCATATTCTTGAGATGGTGAATAATGCTGCTATGAATATTGATTTTTATCTTCTTGCTATTGAGATGTAATCTATGTTAAAGGTTACAGTCTGGTCTTCTGCAGTAAGCATTTCAAGTCTTCTTCGGTGGCAGCAAGCCAGGTTGTGTCATCTGCATAATGCAGGTTGTTGATGAGTCTTCCTCTGATCCTAATGCCACATTTCTCTTCATAGAGTCCAGTAATGGTAAAGAAATGATAAAATAAAGACATGCATGTCTTGTGTCTAAAAAATGAAATAAAGTAGAAAGGAAAAGCCTCCCTCTCCCCTTTTAACTTAATTTTCTTTACTAGTCAGAAGTTGAAAATGTTAAACAATGTAATTGTAAAATGGGTCTTTTTCCCTTATTCCCCTTCTAAGTTTTAAGCCTGAATAGATCTTCTGTAGGCTCACCTACTTTCATTCCATAGACCACGTGATTTGAGGCTCTCAAATGACTTTTAGGGAGAGCTTTTTTTTAAGAAGGATCTTTTTAACTCCACAAACAATATGTGCTACGGTCTGGACATACAGGAAATTATAAACAGTTCTAAGTATAGAAAATTAATAGTTTACTTATCTAGGAACAGCTAGCTACTAAACAGGACAAACTGCAGGTAAGATGATTGAGGATTTGTTATGTTGAGTTTAGGAATCTGGACTCTTTTCTATGAATATGGAGAATACAGAGCTCTGATGGCCTAGTAATAAGGAGCTGTGCTGTCAAACCAAAGGCACGCAATTTGAGTCTACCAGCTGCTCCATGAGAGAAAGATGGGCAGGCTTCTCCCTTGTGATTCACTGGCTATGCAAACTTACTGGAAGGTTGGTTGGTTACAACTCAAAAGGGCATAACCACAACAACAATGAGAAGCTACACTTGGCCAGTAAAAGAAGTGATATAGAGCGGAGCCTAAATTAAAGACGTTTTTTATCAGTGCTAGAATAGAATAAGGCATGGAATTATTAACTCTATAGTCTGTCTAGAGAAATAATAACTAATTGAAGTTTTGAGGTGTCCTAAAAAATAACGTCCTTCCTTCTTGTTCAAAATAAGAAGGGGAAATAAAAGAGTTGAAGCATCTTTGTTGTTCGGTTCCATTGAGTTGACTCTTACTGACCCTATAAACAACAAACCTGAACTCTGTCATATTTTCATCATCTGTGACACATTTGAGCTCATTGCTGAATTCAGTGTATCAATCCATCTCATTTGGGGTCTTCCTCTCTTTCGCTGACCCTCCCTTTTTCCAGGAATGTTATCCCTTTCCAAGAAATAGCTCTCCTAGCAACATGCTCCAAGTATAAGAGGTGAAGTTTCACCATTCTTGCTTTCAAGGAGCACTCCATCTGCACATTTTGCAGGATATATCTGTTTGTTCTTCTGGCAAAAGATGTGGGATGTTTAGTATGCTTCTCCCAACATCACAACTCAAAGACATCAGTTCACCAGCTGTATTGGAAGAGAAAGATGGGCAGTCTCCTCTTTCAGTTCACTGCCTCTGAAAACCCACTGGAGAATCGTCTGTGGATCAATTCTGACTCAACAGTATATAATTACAAGTCCTTTATTCACATGCCATTAGTTGAATCATTAGCATGACTTTAATATGAGGACCAAAGCTGGCTTGTGTAATATACTATACCCCATATGAAAGAAAATTTTATTCTATGTTACTGTTATATGTCCCATCACAACCATAAAATGGTTTAATAGAAAATGGGGAAAAAAGAGACATTAAGTCTTTCTAATCTCAAGTTCTGGTGGTTCTTCCCTTCTACTCTTTTTCTCATAGAATCAAGATGTAAGAAATCCTGTAACCATCCTGTTAGCAAGACAGAATTAAAAGAAATAGGGCTAAATTGGCATATTGTGAAATGTTGAGAAGAGGAGAGAGATCATGATATCAGAGTTGAAATCTAGTAATCAGAGGCCATCATTCTACTTTTTTTTTTAAATCTCTAGGAGAGATTGGGATGCTCTGGTGGTGTAGTATGTAGAGACTTGCACTGCTCAGCCGAAGGTCACACTTTTTGACAGTTTGAAGTCATTAGTAGTCAGGAGGACGAAGATGAGCTATCTCACCCAGTCCAAGTTAACAGCCTCTGAAAACTCAACTGTAGAGTTTAGTATGAATCAGTTCCAACTTGATGACAATGGGTTGAGTATATGAGAGTCATGCAAAACTGACACCATAACAAGAATCCTTCTTGTTAAAAGCCTTGCCCATTTGAATCACTTGAGCAAGACCAGAGCCTGTTGTCAAAGATGCTGAAGAGATCTTTTTAATGGGTGAGAGCGGTATTTGACCTCTCTGGTTTCTTTACCTCTGGTGGCCTAGTGTTAAGAAGCTGTGCAGCACTCCCAAAGACACATGTTTTGAATCCTCCAGCTGCTCCATGGGAGAAGGATTGACATTCTCTTCCTGTGTGATTTACTGTGTCTTGAAAACCCGCTGGAGGGTCACCTGTGGGTCAGTTCTGACTTCATAGAGCACAAAATCATCATAGTTTCTCTGAACTCTAAAAGTCTATAATATGTTTAATAACAATAAATGATGTATTAATATTCTAATAACATTGTATAACATAAAAATCTTTTGCTGCAGTTATACCTTCTTTTAAATGAAGGATATCCTTTACCATAGGTATTATTCAGAGAACATATTCTTGAGATCATATGTGAGATTATAATTTCATCTTGACTAAAATTTTGTGGGAACACTAGAATGTCTTATGATATCAGTTGAACCTCAATTATTTCTAAATTTGAGTTCAGTTTTTATTTTCAAATTTTCAGTATAAATCAGACAGACATGCGTGCTATGATGTATTTTATATATGGAGGAACTTTGACCCTTCCAGAGAATGTTAATATTAGGTATGTATTATTTTTAATAATGTTATGATTTCTTCTTTCCATTTGTTTTAACTATGTTGTAAAGTGTCTATGAAGTGAGAAATTCATGTTTTATCTATTTTGCTGTATCTTTTATGTGTTTTGGGAATATTTGGAAAAAAATATTAAATAACTTTGCTTACTTAGGAGAAAAATTATCTGCTAATTCATATTAATAACATGATTAATAAAAATCTTACATTTATACTTAAATCAAGAAATTTATTTTTGTTATGAAGAATAGATAGCATGTTTAGAAAAATTATTTGAACAGTTCTTTTGAACAGTTCTTTGAACAGTTCTTTTTCTTTTTAAAAATTTTAGAATGTGGTTTTTTAAGCAGGCAAAAAAGAGGGGTGGGGTAATATTAAAACTTGTAGATGAATATAAACATCCTAAGCAGGAGTGGCATCCACTTCTGTAAATAGCTTGCCTCTGAAATCTGGAAACCCTATGAACCTGGAGAAAGGATGAAAGTCACACAAGTATTGAGGACTTTCATTCATAGGTTCGCTATGAGTCGCCTACAACTCGACGGCACTTAACAACAACAACAAAAGACCAAGAAGTACATCAGAGATGGTGAGGATGACACATGATAAGGCAAGGTTGAGAACTATTGTTCACAGGGTCGCTATGAGTCGTGCTCAACTTGACAGCTCTTAACAAGAAAAAAACCAACACTGATAGGACTATTTAAGTGTGCTAGAGTGACTTACTTTCTGAATTGCTAAAATCTGGTAGCACAAATTCCTCCTTGCTGTTCTTAATCAATGTTTCAGATGTCCTCACCTTTTTGTGTTCTTCTAATCAGACAAATGAAACCTATACTTTAAATATTCACTGGTTGCTTGTAAGCATGAGCTAAATGTTTCTTGGGGGAAAAGTACCATATTACAAGGGATTGAGTATAGTACTTTTTTCCCTTGATACTTAACAGTGAATTGCATTGTTCTCCTAAAGCCTGTAGATTTCCTAAATTTTTGTATAAATGTTCAAAAAGAAATGAAAGAAGAAATGAAAGAAGCAAATATTCCTCTTTAAGTAATTGAGGATTGCCTAAAATCTTTGGATCATTCTTACATATGATAAATATTAGCGATCTACTCCCTTCACATTATACAAATTTGTTGTCAAGAATTTTAAATTTTTTTCAACCTTAAAAACCAGAAATTTCCAGGATTGATGTACAATAAGAAGTTGAATGAAACATCTTTTAAATTTACTTTCAGTTATTTTTTTTAATGGCCTAGTGGTAAGAGGCTGCACTGCCAACCCAAAGGCATATGGTTCAAATCCACCAGCTGCTCTGTAGCGGTATGATGGACAGTCTTCTCCTATGCGTTTTATTGCTGCTGAAAACTCACTTGAGGGTCAGCTATGAATTGGTTCTGACTCAATGGCACATACAACAAACAATGTAATAGTGCTTTCAACATTTTACCAACTACTTTCTAAAGTTAATAAAATTTATTTACTTTGTAGGGCAAAAAGTACTAAAATAAAAATAATTTGATTTTTTTCTAAACAGACTATATATTATGAACAAACCATTGTGTATTATGCCTTTATTTTTCAAACTGAGAAATAACAAGTGTATGTGTTTTTATTTTAGTCATATACTCAGTACTGTTGATATGTATGGACTGGAAGGATTAAAAGAAGTGGTGATCTATACTTTAAGAAGAGATTATTGTAATTTCTTTCAAAAGGTAAAGCTTGACTCTTAGTTATCTTTTCATCCAGTGCTTAAAGTTATTATCCATTATTACCTAGTCATTTTCATCTAATAGTAAATACTGTTTTAAAATACTAAAAATGTTAAAAGGCAGTGAAACTAATGGGAACTCCAGAGAAGAAAAAGCTCATATGGTAAGCTTATTAAAAATATAATGCCTTTAAAATAATTTAGGCAAAATAAAATTCAAATGGGTGTTTATTGACAGGATATATGAGTAGCTAAAAGAATTCAAAGGTAGAGTGAGGATATGAAATTAGGGGCAAGAGCCAAGGTTATCTTTTCTGTTAACCCGGGTGTTACACAGTATTTCATCAGTTCTTTCCCTTGAAAATATTCTCTTTTTTCCTACCACCTGTCTTCACAGCATGTTGGGACAGAATATAGTTCTTTTCTACCTATTATGTCTCTAGGTGGAGTATACTAAAGACATTCCATTTTTAAAATTTTAGTTTATGCATATATAAATTTATTGTCTAAACAAAGATCCTATGCTATGTATTTCAGAGTCATTTTGTACAAGATTCTTAGATTATCCACTGTTTTAATTTTACTTTAGGACTATTAATAATAATTTTTCTTTCCTTATTTATTCTCTTCAATATTTTCTGCAATTAGCATATTTTTCTTTTATCCTTCACCAAAAACAAATATTTAAAGAATTGTTTACATCAGTATTTCTTTCTTACTGAATATTTGAGAGGCAGTCTTCTGAGTAGACTATAATAGTTTAAATGATATTCAAATTTAGATTTGTCCTTTAGGACTTTTTCTATCTCCATGTATGTTGCGTTGATTTGAAAAAAAAGTCACTAAATGCCCTATCTACGAAAGAGAACATGAACAACTGGTTACTGTACCACTACTGCCTCACCTCCGAGTTTACTTTTAAACACCTGCTGATTTAACCCTGCACTTCCTTGTTTCTTAATTATTATATTAGTTTATTTACAAAATTGGAATACATTGTTTTTTAGACCAGATTCTTCCAATTTCCCTCACCCACCACTCATCAGATTGTAAAACTCCATAATGAATTCACCACCACCACCCTGTACATCCTCGTCCCTCTGCTTCCACCCCACCCCAAATCTTCATACTCATTCTACTATAATGGCTTTATACAATATTTATCCTGTGGGACTGAGTTAGTTCACTCAGCATAATGCTTTCCAGTCCCTCCCGAGTTAGATAATAATTTACAAAATCATTGCTGTTGCATGCTATGTACTATTCCATTGTATGAATGTACCATAATTTCTCAACCCATTCAATTATGGTTGGACATCTGGACTGTTTCCATGTTCTTGCAATAGTGAGTAACAGTGCTATGGACATTGGTGTAAAAGTCTCTGTGCCTCAGTTCTCATTTTCTCAGGGTATATGCCAAGCAGTGGAATATCTGGGTCATACTGAATTTCTATGTTCAGCATTTTGAGGATGCGCCAAACTGCCTTCCAGAGTGATTGTACCATTTTACAATCCCACCAACAGTGTATATATAAGAGTTCCTGTCTCACCACATCCTCTCCAACATTTACTACTTGCTATCCTATTAAACTTTGCCACTGTTACTGGAGTGAGGTGGTATCTCATTGCGGTTTTGATTTGCATCTCTCTTGTTACCAGTGACTTTGAGCATTTCATGTGTCTGTTGGCCATTTGAATATCTTCTCTGTGAAAAGTTTTTCCATGTCTTTTGCCCATTTTGTAATTGGGTTATCAGTTTTTTACTTGAGGAGTCTCAGAAGTATTCTGTAAACTTTCATTATGAGTCTCTTGTCTGAGATGGTTTTACCAAATGTTTGTTCCCTGTTGGTGGGTTTTCTTTTCACCTGTTGGAAAAAGGTTTTTATGCACATCAGGATTTAGTCTTTAGGAAGTCCCATTCATCAATTTTATCCTCTTCAGATTGTGCATTTCTGGCTATATTTGGCAGTCTCTTTATACCACAGACTAGGCGTTCCAAGCTTGATCTCAGGTTATCTCTGATGAACTTTATGGTTTTGGCCTTTATTCCCAGGTCTCTGATCCACCTGAAGTTGATTTTTGTGTATGGTGTGAGATGTGGATCCTGTTTCAGCATTCTGCAGGTGAAAGTCCAGTTTTACCAGTCCCATTTGTTAAAGAAGTGGTCATTTCCCCATTTGATAGCTTTGATTTCCTTGTTGAATATCAGTTGACCATAGATAGTTGGCTCTATTTCTGGGTTCCCAGTTTTTTCCATTGGTCTATGTGCCTGTCATTTTACCAGTACCATGCTGTTTTGGTTGCTACTGCTGTGTAGTAGGTTTTGAGGTCAGAGAGTGCTATGCCTCCTACCTCATTTTTGTTTCTCAGAAGTGTTTTGCTTATTTGGAGTCTCTTGAGTCTCCAAATAAATTTGATAATTTCCCTTTCAATCTCCTTGAAAAAATGAATTTGATAACTGGATTGGGATTGCATTGAACATGTAAATTGCTTTTGGTAGGATTCTCATTTTCATGATATTGGGTCTTCTATCCATGAACAGGGCATATTTTTTCATTTCTTTAGGTCTTTCATTGTGTCTTGCAGAAATGCTCTGTAGTTTTCTTTGTTTAGGTTTTTTGTATCCCTAGTTAGGTTCACTCCCAAGAATCTCAATTTGTGGTTAAAATATAATGCTTTCCTGATTTCCTTCTCTGAGTTCTCTTTGTTACTGCAGAGTAATCCTGCTGATTTTTGGATATTGATCTTATATCCTGCCACCCTACTAAATTGGCCTACTAACTAACAGTTTTTGTTAAGTCTTTGGGATTATCTTTGTATACTACCATATCATCTGCATATAGCGACAGTTTAACCATCTCTCAGCTGATCTGGATGCTTTTTATTTCCATCTCATACATTACTCTAGCAAGTACTTCCAGTACATTATTGAGTAAAAGTGGTGATAGTGGGCATCCTTGTCTGTTTGCAAGGAAAATGATTTTAGTCTTTCTCCATTGAGAATGATATTGACTCTTGGTTTTGCATATATACTTTTCATTATGTTGAGAAAATTCCCTCAGTTTTTTCAGTGTCTTTATCAGGAAGGGGTGTAGTATTTTTTCAAATGCCTTTACTTCATCAATTGTAAGATATGGTTCTTGCTATTAAATTTGTTAATATAGTGAATTATGTTGATTGTTTTCCTTTTATGTTGAACCATCCTTGCATACCTGTTATGAATCCCACTTGGTAATAATGAGTTATAATTTTTTTTAATGTGCTGTTGGATTCTATCGGCTAGGATTTTGCTAAGCACTTTTGCATCTATAGTCATGATAGATCTGTAGTGTTCTTTCTTGGTAATATCTTTGCCTGGTTTTGGTTTTAGGGTTATACATTACTTCATAGAATGTCTCTGGAAGTGTTCCTTCTTTTTCAATTTTTAAAAATAATTTAAGTAGAATCGGTGCTAAATTCTCTCTGCAAGTTTGGTAGAATTCAGCTGTGAAGCCATCAGGCCCAAGACTTTTCTTATGGGGAATTCTTTTTATGACCTTTTCAATTTCTTCTTCTGTGATGGGTCTTTTCAAGTGTTCTATATCTGTCCTTGTCACTTTCAATTACTTCTTATAATATTTTTTATATTTCTGGCTATTTTAGGTTGTCAAGTATGCGGGTACCAGTAACCCTTTCTATCATCGTAATGTGAAAGCCATGTGGATCAAGAAATAAAGATTTTAACTTAGAAGTATCATTGGATAGCATATACAGTGATAGCCATTTGTGATTTTTAGGACAATGTAGAGGACCTTTAATTACCTCTAAAGGAATAACTTAAAATGTTGATGTTAATACGCAGAGCAAAATAATTATATTCTATTTCTTAAATAAATGCTAATGTAACACTTTTAAGGGAAGAGAATGATAATATCAAATTAATAGCAATTCATTTTTTTAAAAGAAGTTGGAAGTCACTTTATTAGGATGACTGTGCTGAAGGCATCTCTAAAGAAGTTTTTACTGTTCTCTCAGAGTGAAGCAAGTATACATTAGAGACCAGATATACACATTGACCAGTTGTTTTTCTTTATTTATGGCTGTGTTTGGTGGTATAGAGTCAGCTCTAACTCACAGCAACTCTCTTCACAACAGAGAAGACAGCTGCCCCCTCATCACGATCTCTGCTCTGCTCAAGCTCACTGTTGCAGCCATCTGTCAGTTCATCTAATTGAGGGTCTTCCTTTTTCCCTGTGGTTCTCTACTTTTCCATATAGAATTTCCTTCTTCAGGGGTTGGTCTCTCCTGCCCACATGACCATAGAATGTTAGGCAAAGTCTTGCTAGGAGTATTCTGACTGCATTTCTTATAAGACCCGTTTGTTTGTACTTTTGAAAGTCCATGGTATATTCAGTAATCACTATTAATAGTTATGTACATAGAAAAGCTAGACTGTGATCAACTTAATGGTGTGATAGATGTGCTTACAAACATGGTCCAAAACCTGAAAATATGTGCAAGGGCGATATATATAACACAAGAGGGTTTAACACCAAAAGCAGCAAGTTGTTCTCACTACTATTATCTACATTTTATTTGTTATAGTTTTCATATATATGTTGTTGTTGTTAAGTGCCATCGATTTGTAGAAGACTCATAGCGATCCTATGAACGAAAGACCTGAACACTTGTATAATTTTCATAATTTCTCCAAGTTCATAGTTTCTGGAGGCAAGCTGTTTCAGAAGTGGATGCCACTCCTGCTTCCAAGCTTGTTTGTATACACACACACACACATACATTTAGAACTGTTGTAATTAATTCTCATCCAATTAAATTTTACTTTTATTTGAAGCCAGTGTAAAACCTTCCAGTGTACATGTACTTAAAAAGCAGATTAGACTGTGTAGTTCTACTGGATGCTGTGTGAGGTACTAGAAATGATTTATGTCTTTCTCTCTCCTCTCTCATTTCCCTTTTCTGCCCTCCCTCCTCTCCTCTGTCTCCGTCCTACTGTGTGTGTGTGTGTGTGTGTGTGTGTGTGTGTGTGTGTTGTGAAAAAAGACTTGTGTATAAAAATACTGTGCATTCTGGAAGATGAAGGAGATCAAATGATTTCTGTAAAACTGAACGTTATCAATAAAAACTGATCTGAATATAACAGACTTTTGATTTAACTACAGTTATTTAGCAGTTAAACATTTTCTTGAACAAAACGTTTTCAGTTAAAAAAGTAATGTGCTATTGTCTATTGATTTTTAGCCTATTCCTGGAAAGATGGACTCTATGCTGGAATGCCTGATGATTGCACATTCATTTGGTGTGGAAAGTCTTTATGCTGACTGTGTGAAGTAAGTGAGATGAAGTAGTACTGAGAGTATTAATCTGAAGGTCTTATTCTTTAATTTTCCTAATATTGTGGATAATTATAGATGTGGCCTATTTTTTCTTTCTTTTTTTAATTAATTTTAATAGACATTTACAGAGGTTTTGGATTTCCATTCATTCATTGCCACACTTTTCTCCCTGCCCACCCCTCCCCACCAGTTCACCCCTCTCCGAAAAAAAACCAAAAAAACCCTCCTTCATTAGTGTATAATTCCCCCATCCCTTACTCCCCCGACACCCAGAGTATACTTCTCTATGCAACCTTAATTCTGGATTCCTGTGCTAACCATAATATTCAATCATATATGTGGCCTATTTTTTTATTGAGCACAATGTAAGTGTCTTAATACTTAGCTAGTTGTACCAACTGAGAAAAATAACCTGTCAATTCAGACATTATTCAAGAGGATTTGGATAAATTTTATTTTAACTAAATCATAGTTAAGCCAAAACACCCGCTGCTCTGGGGTTGATTCTGGGTCATAATGACCCTCCATCAGGTTTCTGAGGCTGTGGATTTTTCCAGGAGTGGATTGCTCTTCTTGCTTCTGGTAGATTTAAACTTCTGACCTTTGTATTAGTAGTATAATATGTAACACACTGTACTGTTATTCACAATCTGGAACAAACTCCATGTATCCAGGAAAGGAAAAAACAGTTAGGTCTACCACAGATTTAATACAATTAACAGTAAAGGTTAGTAAAATATATGTATAGTTCCTCAAACTGACAACTGAGATATTATTGAATATTATAATGAAAAGTATTTTCATAATTCTTACTTGGAATTCTTAAATTTAAAACAGGTGGATTGTAAAGCATTTTGCAAGGTGCTGGTCTGAGAGAAGTTTTGCAAATGTACCCTCTGAAATTCAGAAAACTTGTCTTAATACGTTGATTCAGTCCATAGTAAGTATAACCCAAATAACCTTGTTTCTCATCACATAATTTATGTAGGCACTTAAAGTATTTTTTTATTTCTTTTATAAAAATTGGTTTATGTACAATTATTTATATGCATCAGTCAGTTACTATTGATCTATACCTTTTATCACCCTGTCTCATCGAGTTCCCATTGCACCTTACCTATTCCTTCACTCCCTATCCTTACACTAATCTCTAATGTCCTAGTGGTTTTCAATAGCTATGTTTTTCTTAAACTGATTCTTCCAAGTTGCATCCCCCTTGACAATGTTCATTGTTTATACATTCTATTTTTGCTCTCCTCATGCACCTCTTTCCACCTCAGTTCTATTGTTGTGAGTCAGCTATAACTCATAGCTATCCTATGAATAATACCTCTGATCCCTGCCCTATACTGAGCCAATCTCACCACCTCTGACACACCTGACTCCATTGCCACAGTCACTTTGTCAAACCATCTCATCCAGGGTCTTCCTTCTCTTTCACTGATCCTCTACCCTTCCAAGCATGTTCTTTTTCCAAAGACTGGTCATTCCTGGCAACATGCCTAAAGTATGTCAGCTTCAAAATCCCAAGGAGCACCTGGGTTTCCACCCTCTCCATTTGTGCTCTTGGCAGTCTGTGTTATGGTCAATACTCTTTTCTTGCGTCACAACTCAAAGGCATTGATTTTTCTTTGGTCCTCCTTAGTTATTGTACAGCTCTCAGATGCAGAGCAAGCAATTGAGAAGACCATGGCCTATATCAGGCACACCTGAATCTCTTGACTGACGTTATTGTTCTTTAGCACTCTGGAGAGGTCCCTGATAGCTGACTTTCTTAAAGCGATTTATTTTGTGATTTCCTGACTGCTACTGTTGATTGTGGATCCAAACAAGAGGAAATTTTTAACAACTTCAATCTTTTCTCCACTTACCATGTTACCAATTGGCCCATGATGAGAATCTTTGTTTTCTTGCTATTGAGCCTCAAACCATATTGAAGACTGCAGTCCTTGACTTTCTGCAGCAAATGCCTCAGGTGCTCCTCTGCTTCAGCAAGCAAGGTTGTATCATCTGCATACTGCAGGTTGTTGATGAGTTATCTTCCACTCCTGATGCCACATTCTTCTTCATAAAGTTAAGCCTCTTGAATTATCTGTTCTGTAGATAGATAGAAAAGGTATGGAGAAAGGATACTTACCTCTTTCTTGATTTTGAACCATGTAGTGTTTTCTTTCTCAGTTCATACAGCAGCTTCTTGTTCTAGGTATAGATTTCGTGTGAGTACAATCTAGTGTTCTGGGATTCCCATTCTTCTCATTGTTAGTCATAGTTTGTAGTGAGCCACAGAGTCAAATGTCTTTGCATAGTCAGAACACAAATAGACATTCTTCTGGTACTCTCAGCATCAGCCAAGATCCAACTGGCATTAGTGATGATGTGCCATGGCCTATTCTAAACCCAGCCTTTGTTCTGGTAGTTTTCTGTCAGTGTACTGTCCTAGCTGCTTTCAGATAATCTTCAGCAAGATTTTGCTTGAATATTATATTAGTGATATAGTTTGATAAATTCCATACTATATTAGATCACCCTTTTCTAGAAAAGGGGATAAATATTAATTTCTTCCAGTCAGTTGGCTGGGGAGTTGTCCTCTAAATTTCTTGACACAACCTGTGAGCAGATCCAGGCCTGTATGTTAGTTGAAATATGTCAGTTGGTGTTTCCTCAAAACTTGGGGCCTCATTTTTCCCCCCCAATTCCTTCATAACAGCTTGAACTTCCATCTTTATTACCACTGTTTCTTTTTAAAACAATTTTTTAATTGGTACTTAGAGTATTTTAAAATAAAATTGTAGATCTTCATTATGGAAAAAAGAAAGCGTCAGTACAAAAGAAAGCCAAACCAGTTCAGAGGACCTTTATGTAAGATTCTGTTTCTTTGGAACCTCAATCAGACCAAGTTCAGTGAGGTTTCAGTCTGAGAAGCAGAATCACTAGGAAGTAAATACTGGGTTGTGAACAAAGGAGGAATGGTGAGCATGGAGTTGATGGATTGACTCAGCCACATGGATGTCCCTTCACCTAGATCTGTCTTGGTATAACACTGACCTATGTGTCGTTCCCCAAGAAATCAGCAGATTCATTACATTGTATCACTTCCATAATGAAAAAGGCAGTACTTGTTTTCCATTGGAATAAGTATTTGTTCTACACATGGATTTGTATTTCTTGCCTATTGTGCTTCTGCTGAACTACTGTGTGTGGACTGTCACAAGGCTTATGCACCATCCTAGTATGCCACATGGCATAAGTTGCAATTAAAGAATTGAATTAATAGTAAATGAAGTTGTTGTTGTTCTTGTTGTTGTTGTTATGTACCATTGAGTCGCCTGTGACTCTTAGTGACTCTATGTACAAGAACTCTAAACCCTGCTCTATCCTGTGCCAATCTTATTGTCTCTGAGACACCTACCCACATTACCCCATCACTGAATCAGTCCCTCTCATCCAGGGTCTTCCTCTCCTGCGCTGTCCCTCTACCCTCCCAAGCATGACATCCCTCTCCAAGGACTGGTTTCTCCTTGCAACATGTCTAAAGTATGTCAGACGAAGCTTCAGAACCTTGGCTCCAAAAAGCAGCCTGGTTTTAACCTCTCTAGGATGAACCTATTCTCCTAGAAATTCATGGTATAGTCAGTGCTCTACTCCAGCACCACAGCTCAAAGGCATCAGTTCTCCTTCTAGCACCTCTAGTCTTTATCCAACTCTCTGATGCACAGCAAGTAATTGCAAAGATCATGGCCTATAACAGGCGCACCTTACTCTCCAGACTGACATTGTTGCTCTGTAGTACTTTAGTGAGGTCTCTGACAGCAAACTTTCCCAGCGTAATTTCTCTTTTAATTTCTTGGTTGCTGGCACCAAGAGTGTTGATTGTAGAGCCAAGCAAACTGAAACGATCAACAAGTTCAGTCTCTTCACCATCTATCATGATGCTGCCAATTGGCCCAGTGGTAAGAATCTTTGTTTTCTTGATGTTGAACTTCAGTCCATATGGAAGGCTGCAGTCCTTGACCTTCTGCAGCAAGTGCTTCAGGTCCTTAGTTTCAGCAAGCAGGGTTGTGTCATCTGCATAATGCAGATTGTTGATGAGTCTACCTCAAATCCTGATGCCACACTTCTCCTCATAGAGCCCAGCCTCCCAGATGATCTGTTCCACATATAGTTTGAAAAGATATGGAGATAGGACACATCCTTGACGCACACCCTTCCCAATTTTGAACCATGCAGTGTTTCCTTGCTCAGTTCTCGCGACTGCCTCCTGGTCCAAGTATAGGTTTCGTATTAGCACGATCAAATGTTCTGGAATTCCCGTTCTTCTCAAAGTCAGCCACAGTTTGTTGTGATCCACATAGTCAGATGCCTTTGTATAGTCAATGAAACACAGACATTCCTCTGGTACTCTCTTCTTTCAGCCAAGACCCGTCTGATATTAGCTATAATACCCCTAGTGCCATGGCCTCTTCCAAATCCAGCCTACACTTCAGGTAGTTCTCTGTTGATGTGCTATTCCAGTCGTTTTTTAATAATCTTCAGCAGAATCTTGCTTGCGTGTGATATCAATGATACTGTTTGATAATTTCCACACTTTTGTCAGATCACTTTTCTATGGAATGGAAATAAATAATAGATTTCTTCCAGTCAGTTAGCCAGGTGGTTGTCCTCCAGACTTATTGGCACAACTTGGTGAGCACATCCAGGGAAGCATCTCTTTGTTGAAATATGTATACCATCAATTCCTGGGCCTTGTTTTTTACCAGTTCTTTCAGAGCACCTTGAACTTCCTTCATCACCACAGACTCTTGCTCATACATTGTTTCATTAAATTCTTCTGTGTCTACCAATTCCTTTTGGTACAGTGATGCTGTATACTATTTCCATTTTCTTTTAATGCTTCCTGGATCATTTAATATTCTACCCAAAGCATCCTTAAGTATTGCAGCTCGAGGTTTGAATCTGTTCTTCAGTTCCTTCAGCTTGAGAAATACTGAGCGAGTTTGGCCCTTTTGATTTTCTGACTCCTTCTCCTTGCACATTTCATTGTAATACTTTGTCTTCCCACACTGCCCTCTGTAATTTTCTGTTCAATTCCTTAATATCTTGATTTCTTCTCTTTGCTTTGGCTTTCATAGCGCTCCAACGCAATATTACTTAAGATAAAAGTGAACATTTATGCTATATAAATTAACATTTAAGCTATAGATTTTTCAGAATGGAAATTTGACAATGTTAATAAAGCTTTGAAGAATAAATACTTTTACTCACTGCCAGTGAGGACATAAATTAGCAAGACTTTTGCTGTCTTTCAAACTTTTTTGACTGTGACCCAAGGTAGGGATTTTGTGTGTGCATGTTTGTTTTGTTTTTTACATTGTGATCCAGTAATTGTTCCTAGAGAATAAAGCAGCAGCACTTATCCTTATTACATATAATGTAGTGATGTTTTCCATTTTTCTTGATTCTGTTTCTTTTTGCTGTTGTTTTCTAATGTTCATTGTGACCCATTAAGTACACAGTTTGAATCCACCATTTGCTGTCTGGGGAGAAAGATCGGCAGTCTCTTCACATTGGATTAACTGCCTCTGAAAACCCACTTGAGGCTTTGCTATGGGTTGGTTCCAACTCAGTGGTACCCAACAAGAAGTAGATTGCTTGAGGCTTTACAGAGGAGGGAACAACAGCTTTCAAAACAAGGCTCCACTGTTTTAACACTCCATGTTAACGTTTTATGTGTGTTAACAGTGTTTGGGGTACACTAGTACCCCACTCCAACCCTCTTGGCCTGTCTTTGCATTCCAGTCATTGCTGCAGCTTTGTGTGTCTCGTAGGTGTGATCTGACAACACTTTCTTTGAGTAGCATCATTCACATATACCCCTCACTTTCTGTCCTGACCTTAACTTGCAGTATAGCAGTTCAGGCATAAGTGCACACTTGGAAATGAAAGGGCATTAACACTTCAGTGGGCAAACCTTATCCAGTG